GACCTCACCAGTAGGGTACCTAAATCAGTACAAAGGGGGAGCGAGATCTTTCCCTTTAGTGTATTTGATTTATTACCAACCCTTTCTCCCTTTAAGCCTTGATCTCTGGGTTGAGTTCTAGTCTCATCTTCATGTTAACCCTCGTGACCTGGGGCAAGTCACCGTGTCCCTCTGAGCCCCATTTCCACACCAGTGTATGAGGCTAACAGCAGCCACCCAGGCTTCACAAGGCTGTGTAATGACAGAGGCACTGGCTCACTCTTGCCTGCGACTGTGCGTGAGAAGCCCGGCGCTCAGTGCGGGCGCGGACTCGGTGCTGTCCGTGGTGCTGACCCCCAGCTCCTGCCTGAGGCCCGCGGCCCACGCTTCCCGAGAGCCCTCGGGCTGTGGGCGGCACTGCCGCTACCACCCGTCTAGGAGTTGTGTTTACACACCCCCACACAGTGAGTGGGTGGCCTCTGGAGGCGCCCGGTGGGATCAGGGCCTGGAGCCAAGAGCTAGGAGGCAGAAGAACAGGGGGAGGGCTGTGCTCACCCAGCAGAGCACTGGCGGAAGGAGAGCAGCTGGTCGCTATGGTGGCCGCCGCTCCAGGCGCTCCAGCGAGGATAGTCACCCTTCTCCAGAATAAATTGCTGCCCCTGGAAGTTGGGGTACTCATAGGCCACCTAACTGGGGAAAGATAAGGCAAGCTGGGAAGCATCTGCCTCAGTGGCACTATTTCCTCCCCCTCCCCCTTGCTTGCTGTGATTGAAAAGACTAAGAAACAGATCTTTTCATCTAACCCCAGGCCCTTTCCCTGACACACACACTGCATGGCAAACCAGCCCCTCTAGAGGCTAAAGACCCTAAACAGGCTGCTATCCAGGGTTGGAGGGGTCCAGGCTTCCAGCTCAGTGCCTCTAGAGTGGAATTTTCCAGCTTCCAAAGATCACACGACCAAGTCCTTCTACATCAATAATTTAGATGCCTGCAAAAGTAGGTGTAGGAACGCGACCCCACCCCAACCTTCGGTAGCAACCTGTGATGACAACAATCAGCTTTCCTTAGGGACCCGGGCTCCAGGAGACCAGGGTGGGGCCAGGAGAAGAGATTTCTTAAAGGAAGTTCAGAGCCATCTAACTTTGTACAGAGAAAAACTTCGGAGAGGACATTACACTGGGAACCCCTTCAGGGCCCCACAGCTCCCCGCCTCCTGGAGCAAAAGGTCGCTTTTCACCCTTACCCTTTTAGCNTCAAGCTGGCCCCACAGCTCCCCGCCTCCTGGAGCAAAAGGTCGCTTTTCACCCTTACCCTTTTAGCACCGGTTCTTTATGTTTTGTCTTGCGCGGGGAAGAGGGGGGGCATGGATTTGGGGAGGCCGAGGAGTTTCCTGTGTTGGTGGGTCTCTATCAGGCAGGGCTTACAGACTGGGGAACCGAGGGTTGAGAGACGAGGTCCCAGGCTTCGAGCTTGGGGTGGGGGAGCTCAGAGTTCCGCAACCCAGACCAGCCGCGGGGGCGGTCACTCACACGCCGCTTTCCACCTCGACGGAGCGCACCCTGCAGGCCTCCGCGCGCGCAGACGGTGGCGCAGTCGCTCAGCAGCCGGCTGCGGCGGCCCTGGAAGTCCTCCTGGTCCCAGAGCGTGAGGCAGGCGGGCGCCGGGCCCCGCGCGGGGGCGCTGCTCATGCCGCTGCGGCAAAAACGACCGCACCAAATGCTCAGCGTCTCGGGAACCGCTCCCGGGCCATGCCCAGGCCCACCCAACTCGGGTTGAGGGTGAAGGACCGGGGGCTGGCCCCTGGTTGCTAGGGGCTTCCCCTCACCTCGCCCTCCCCCGCCCTGGAAACACTCTGCCCCAGCACCGAATATTCGCGGGGTGGTTGAGCGAGGTACTGACGGAAAATGGAGAGGATGCGCGCAGACCAGGCGTGCGGGCTTTACACCCGGCCTCGCCTCCCTCCCCGCACCCTCTCCCGCTGGGGTGGGGAGAGCTGAGTCGGCGGGCAGGCTGCGGTCAGCTCCGGTGTCCCCCGAGACCCAAGCCTTTCCCACAGCCGCCGATCTGGCCCCCGCCCTCGGGGATTACAATAGAAAGTGCTGAGGCACACGTCCCGCGCCTGCTGCAGCCAATGCTGACTCCGCTATTTCTTTTTGGGGGGCCAGAGCCAGGCAGGGTGAACCTGCCCTCAGAGCAGAAGGCGCCCTCCCTGGCCCAGAGGTACCAGGCTACCCTGCGGCCCCCGCCGAATTCGCGCCCTCTGGACTCCGGGCGCCGGAAGTTCTTCCGCCCCAGGTCAAGGCCTCTTTCGCGCGATGCTAGGGCGGAGGTAGACAGGCTCACACCCCTCAGTCCTCTCTTCCCCGGAGGATCGGTCCATCGCAGCCCTTTTCCTCCCAGGACTTGAGCTCCCAGGCCGGCGCTGCATTCCCGGAGTTTTCTGGAGCGGAGGGGGCGAGAGGGGCGCAAGGCGCGCTGAGCGCAGGCAACTTGAACCGTCCAAGGAAGCGCCCGGGGAGGGCGCGGATTTACAAAGCGCCCAGGAATAATAGTAACTAAGGGAGTGGCTCCCTGGAGTAGCTGGGGGAGCTGTTCCGCCTTAGCGCGGCCAGAACGGCGACACTGCCAGCCACCAGCCGCCAGGAAGCGCTCAGGGGACTGGGGCTCGGGGCCCCCCCGTCTACCTGAGAGCTAGCAGCTGATTACTCAGCGCCTAGTCAGGCCAGGCGCCCTGCTCCGAGCTTTTACGTGCGTGATCTCAGCTGATTCTTGCACCGAACCCGCGAGGTGGGTGCTGTTACTGCCCTGCTCCTCACAGACGCGGGCCTTAGGTCCTGCGGAAAGGGGTGAGGAGGGGTCCCAGCTGAAGACTGGCCCAGCCGAGGTGTGAACCCTGCCTTCTGTTTTGACTGTAGGTCCTAGGCCCTTGCCCCCAACCCCCCTGCCGCGTAGGGGGGGTTGGGGAAGGGGAAAGGAGATGAAGGGCCTGGAGCCCCAAGGGAGGCTGAGGGAAGACATTTCCTCACAACTTGCAGCAGAATTTCTAACCGTACAGCTGAGTTCACTCCCACCTCCAAGGCCGGGCATTTGCTGTTCCCATTACCTCCAGTGTCTTGGTCACAGGATCTTGGTATGACTGGCTCCTTTGTCACCCCCTGGGTGACCCTGTTCCTGACATTTACTCTCCATCACATCGCCCTGTTTTCTTTACAGCATTTATCACTCTGTAAATTTCTCTTTTCCATCTTTTGTTTACGGGTGTTTCTGAGTGTGTGTCTCCTTTTAGACCACATGTAAGCTCCATTTAAATGGACTGTGTCAGCTTTGTTTTCAAGCCTTAGCATTGTGCTGGACACAGGCACTCAGTAAAACTTGAATGAGCCCTGGCCCGTTTGGCTCAGTGGTTAGAGTGTTGGCCTGAGGACTGAAGAGTCCAGATTTGATTCTGAATCCTGGCTAGGGCACATGTCTGTGTTGCCAGTTCAATCCCCCCCCCCCTTGGGGTACATGGGGGAGGCAACCAATCTCTCTCTCCCCCTCTCTCTCCCTCCTCCCTCTCTCTGACTCTTTCTGAAAAGTAATGGAAAAAATATCATGGGGTGAGGGTTAAAAAAAAGAATTTGGCTTTATTGGGACTTAATTTTGAAGACTAGAGTAACTTAAAAACAAAACTTGAATGAGTGAGTGGACAAGGTGCTCAGTTGGGTCAGATGTCCATGGGGATGGGTGTAGAGGGAATTCTACAATGAGAGCGCAGGAGTAATGGTTTGCCCATCCTACCAACTTCACCCTGAAGTTCTGGGGNAAATGAGTGAGTAGACAAGGTGCTCAGTTGGGTCAGATGTCCATGGGGATGGGTGTAGAGGGAATTCTACAATGAGAGCGCAGGAGTAATGGTTTGCCCATCCTACCAACTTCACCCTGAAGTTCTGGGGTGCCAGGAACAGGTGCTGGGGGCAGCCTTGGGTCTCTCTTTTCACTGGTGAGGAACTGCTCTTGAGGATCAGTGTGTGTGAAGGTGAATGTTCTAGAACATGGGGAGTAAAGTCCAAGTTAGGAGGATTTAAGTCAGAGCTGGGACAACCACAGCCATGTTTGATTGGGGATGGGTCAGACCATGCCCAGTCCCCTGACTCCCTACCCTAGAGGAGGTTTGGAGAGATGCAAATAGACCATAATTTCCCCAAAACTGTAAGGGGGAAATACAAACAGCAAAGGGAGACAAGAGCCAATCCTTGACTCTGTGTCCTGCGCCTTGGCCTCTTGGCGTCCCAAGTCGGGAATATGGCAGCGGTGGGAGGTGAGGAACCCAATTTCTCCTTCCCTCCCTCCCGCTTTCCTCCCGTCTCTGTCGGACAATTCTGGATTCGGCCACCAGGAGGCGCGGGCGGGCCGCTCTGAGTGGAAAGCTGAGGCCGCAGGGCTAGCGGAAGAGGCAGCTGGCAGGAGGCTGAGGCTGGGAGCGGCGGCGGGTGCGGGTGGCGAGTGCGTCAGTCTGTGCGTCTTCGCTCGTCCGTGACGCGGACACCGGGTGTTAGCTCCGCGGCTGAGGGGTGTCTGTCAGATTGGATGCTGTGTTTATAGGAGCTGGGGCCCAGGGCCTGAGCATGCCCTTGAGGTTGGGGCTCCACCTGGGAGGGCTGTTTCCAGTCCAGGTGTTGGTCAGAAAACTATTCCG